AAATGGAAAATATAAAGCAAAAACCAATAATGAATGAACTCTAACCTTATGAAAATACATATATACTGGCTAAATGGTTCTTCTAAGAAACTACTTGGAAAATATGTTACAAATTTTAGATACTTTTCTGAAAGGGACTGTTCTACAATATCTTTTATAAGGAATTTACAGGAAAACAAGAATAGGAAATGGTGAGCCCCATGGAGAGCAGTAACAAAATGGACCGACGGGAGCTAGAGGGAATCCAGCAAGCTGTGAACTTCACCTCTACAAGCCAACTTAAGAAATACGTCAAACTAAGAAAACAGAAGTTGTCAGGTAAATGAGACAGATGGGCTAATGAAGATTAATTCATCAAGCTGTCAATATAATTGACACTTGAAAGTATTAAAACTGCATGTATTTGAAAACTTTTGGGAAAGATATACTCTTCTTGACAAACACGTTTTTTGGCAAATCAAACAATCCGCCTCTCTTGGCTCTACTCAAAATAGTACAGTTTAACTTGAGTTAAAACATTTTAATCATACCCTCATAATCATTTTGAAAATGCACCATGACAATATCCAGTTACCACAGGTTGTTCTATGCACCACTTTTAAGCATCTTTGTTGTTTTCTATTACTTTCTCTGTTTCAACATCAAGGACTGTATTTATTAAATAGTAGGAATGTAGCCCCAGCTTTGGTCAATGACTTTCTATGGGTGATTCTTTTCCTTTTTTTTCTTAATATAAAATAGGGGATTTGGACATCCTTTTTAGCTCTAGTTCTCAAATATTCTACTATGATATTTATAATTAAATTTCTTTTATTCTTTCAAAACTTTCTTCTCACTGCCCCCCCATGGAATACTTTATCCTCACTATAGTAAAACAAACAAACAAACAAAAAACCTCTCACAATGTACAGAATGTAGAAGAAAGTTAGCAAGATGATTTAAACAAGGTCATCCATTTATTTATTTATGTATGCAAAAAATTTTTAGTTAATACCTAGTACATTCCAGGTATCGTTCAAGGTACTTTCATACATGGTGGAAGAAAACCAAGTTCCTGCCTCATAGATGTCATTATGGTGAAGGGGCAGGAGAGTGACAAAAACACAACAGACAAATATGTAATCTGCTAGATGGTAATAGGTGCCATAACAAAAAGTCAACCCAGTCAGCAGCAGACCAAGGAAGCAGATGCATACTGGGAAAGAAT